TTATTAAGGAACTATTTTGATATAAAACTAGATATACTTTTATTTTTCTTTAGGTAGACTACTAAGGAAACATTTATAATATTGTTTAGAAAAGTAGTATATTACTATTAAGAGAGTAAATATTGAGGTTTTAAGAAAGTGTAATATTAAGGAAACGTATATGGCATATATTTGAAAGCATGTATACTACAAAATCTAATTTATATTATAATTTAAGAAAAATGTACTAGTATCATGAAAATATATGTAGCATTACTTTGGAAGAAAGTATATTACAACTAAGGAACGTATGTTATTATTTAAGAAAATGAGTTACTAACACAAAAGCATATGTACTATGATATAAATAACTTCATAGTTCTATGCATTCCAAATCATAGATCATAAGCAAGAATCTAAATAAAGGGAACATAATTCCTAACATTTCTTCCTAATACCAAAACAAAAACTCTAACTAAAAGTGAGACTCGAAGACTACCTATTAGAAGACCTTTGAAATTCTAAGAATTTCCTCCAAGCTACCTTGAGCTTCCTTAGACCTTATAGAAAATTTTTAAACTTCAACTAGGGTGTAGTCCTTCACTTGGATGTGTCCACTCCCTTAGTTGATTTTGGTGTGCCCAAACTCAAAGTGAAATCCTTCTATTTATAGGTGCAGATTTCACTATTCCTACCTATCCCTTCCTTATTTTTTGAAATACATATTACTATTCCTGTCTACCCCTTTCACTAATATTTTATTCCTAACTAAGTCTTCCTTATTATTTGAATATTAGTTGCTATTCTTACCTAACTCTTTTATATTATTTTAATTTTTTTTGTAGGATGACCTTTACTATACACATTTGCCTTTTCTTAGCTTAACATTATTTTTACTATTCATGGAAGCTTCTATTGCTTTTATATTTATTATTATTGTTATTATTTTACTATATTCATTGATGTCTATTACTATTTATTAATCTCCCTTACTTTGTATTTTATTATTTATTTTATTTTTCATGGATGCCTCCTACTTTTCCACTATCTATAACTTAATTAATCTTATACTATTGGAACTCTTTACTCTTCCAATTACTATTATTATTGTATGGTATTATCATTTTAACTTTGCACCCACAACTTTAAAATCTTCTTCTTTTAAATTCTTTTGAACCTCCAGTTACGTATTACACCTTGTCATCACGGACTAACCTAAGGTGGTTCACCTCCAACTGTAATTTGCAATATTTGTAGTGAACGTGGATTCACCCAACTCTTGTGGCATTTCTAGCGTTAATAAAAAAAATAATTAAATAAAGGAGTTGTTAGAACTATAAAAAAAGAAAAGTAAATAAATTTCAAGTAGTTACACTTCAAATATAATCGATTACCTTCAATAGCAAATCGATAATGACTTTGACTTAAACAAATTATTACACTCCCTTTGGTTATAGAAAAATTGTATATTTTGTTGAACTAAATTACAAATAATAATTAGAACCAAGAAAATAGAAAAATAAATAAACGTCAAGTGGTTGGACTTCAAATATAATTAATCATCTTCAATATGCAATGAATAATGACATTGATTAAAACAAATTATTATACTCCGATTGGTTCCAGGATAATTGTATATTTTGGACAACTAAGTTACAAACAGAAGTTAGAATAAAAAAAAATAAGAGAAGTAAACGAACCTCATGTAGTTAGACTTCCAACATAATTGATTATCTTCCATAGCCCATCGATATTGATTTTGATTGAAACAAATTATTATACTATCTTTGGTGCCAGGAAAATAGTATATTTTGTAGTACTAAGTTATAACGATTAGTTAGAATAAAAAAAAAAATGAAAAGTAAATAAACTTAGACTGCAAACATAATTGATAAAATTCCATAGCCAACTGAAAATGACTTTGATTGAAACAAATTATTATACTCTCTTTGGCGCCAAGAAAATTGTACTCCCTCTGTCCCACAAGAGTCCATATTGAGTTTTGAGTTTTTTATTATTTTTAGTGCAAATATAGAAACTCAATGTGAACCATTTTCTTGGGATGCAGATAGTATATTTTTTTTCAACTATAGTAAAAATAGTAGTAAGAATCAGGAACAAGAAAAATAAATAAACCTCATGAAGTATTTAGACTTCACATATTTTTGATTATTTGCCATAACCAAGTGATAAAGACTTCGATTGAAACAAATTTTTATACTAATTTTTCAATGAAGAATTTTCTATTTTGTTGAATTCATTTTGACCGGAATAATTACCAACTTGGCTCTGCATAGATATTCCAAAATTACCTTTAGTTTAATTCACTTTTACCGGCATAATTGCAAAAAATAATTGTCTAACAGGTTGGGAAAATGAAAAATTATTTGGTAATTTGTTCACGGCTGGGGTTAAGATTAATAGAGCAAAGTCTACCAGGGCACGCTTTGAAACTTGGAAATTGACATTTGGAGGTAAGTATATATTATGTTGGGACAAAGAATCCCATATCGTTGTTGTGAAAGATCTGTCACTCGTTTATAAGTTCCAAAGGCTGCCCCACTCATTGCCAATTGGTTTTTGAGATGGGAGTCAAGGTGATTTTTGACATGGTATCAGAGCCCACGATCTGGGAACCTGTGATGACTATGGATCCATGTGTGCTGGCTTGTGGACTGATCCGGTAGTATATCCGGAGTGTGAACCTGTGTGTACGGGGTTGTTGACTGACCGGACAGTATATTCAGAATTGTGCACTGACCCAACAGTATATTTGGTAAATTGCAACCCCAATAGGCTAAATACCTTAGGTTTGAGGGAGGGTATTGGAACAAACAATTTCACATCGTTGTCATGAAAGTTCTGTCATCTGTTTATAAACTTCAAAGGTCACCCCACTCACTGCCAATTTATTTTGAGATGGGAGTCCAATGTGACTTTGGACCAAATGGCTTTATTAAGAGTTTTCACATATTGAGTTACTATAACTTTAACGGTAACAGTAACTAGTAACATATAATACTCTTTCTATCAAACACAGTTCACACTCAGTTAAAAGAAATTATGGAAATTCAATAGGATGGAAGAAGTTGCTTTTAATGATTAAAGTACACCTATTGATGTTTTGAACCACGCTTCACGGTAATAATAGCTATATATTCTCTGAATCTCATAGAAAATTTCTGAATTTTATAATTATTTTTTTAATAATATGAGTTATTTTCTAGAGAACATTTAAATTGAATGAGGATGAAAGATAGAAATGTTTATTTTTGTTTCCTCTCTTTTGTGTTATAATTATATACTAGATGCTTGGCCCGGACAGATGCCCGGGCGCCCCCTCTAAATTACTATTTTATTAAAATCTAATTGAATTACTATTTTTTGAGGAATTAATTTAGCGTATATATCATTTATGCTATGATTTGGGGCTTAAAAAAATATACCTATAAATCTGAGGTTATAAGGGAATAATAAATAATTAGTTTATAAGGCATTATTCTTAATTGCTGGATTTAGGTATTTTTATTTTTTGAGTTTGAATTTGAATTTGAATTCAAATTCAAAACTATACGATTGGACATTTGAATTTGAATTAATATATCCATTCGTTTGAAATGTAACTGATCCTTATTTGTAGTAAAACATGTGTTTCTTTTTTTAAAAAAAAATTATATAACTTCTAATTAAAAGAGACTTACACGTGGCAAAAAGACTTCTGAAATGTGAAATATGATGCATTGGAGCCAAAACAGATGCATACGTAGTTGGCACATAAGATTCATGTCTTTTGCTTTAATAGGGTAAAAGGGATGTATAATTTTCCATAATATTAGTGTTTACTCCATCCGTTACATAAGAAATAAGTAACAGATGTAAAATATGTTCATCAGGAAGATGAAGAATTTCTACTTGTTAAACACTAAATTATTTTAATTGAATTTAACTATTATAAACAAGATCGAAGAAGTTTGAAAATAAATAATTAACAATTTAACTAATAAGTTTTTAGAAAACAAAAAAAAATTTAAATTTTAAGAAATTAAATATTAACTATATATTATTAAATTTTGAAATTGTTAGTAAAAACTAAATATTATTAAATTATGAAAAGAATAAAAAATAAAAAAATCACATTGTTTTTTGGCTTGGCTCCAGTGATTTTATAAGTTATTTTCTTAACTTACATAGTTAAATTTTAGTATTAAAGTAGTTTAACAAAACATTTTGATTTAATTTTACCTTTGGAACAATTAATTACAAGCTTATCAACTTTCTAAATTTAGTTAATTTCAAACAAATTATCACAAATTACAAAAACTAAATTACGATTAAAATTTACATGTTCATTATGCATATAACTAATTTTTTCTAAGCTGATCATATTTGGTTAAATAAGTTGAACGCAACAAAGTTAATATTTATTTTTTTATTATACATGTTGATTCAAATTTTAATTGCATGCCACTAATAAAATTTCTGTATTAATATATATATATATATATATATATATAGAGAGAGAGAGAGAGAGAGAGAGAAAGAGATTATTAAGTTTAACTTTTTCAAGAAAATTTTCTTTTCTTTTTCTTTTAATTATTAATTAATCACTATATTAAGTGAAACATAATAATGTATATAGGGTATATAAAAGGGTCGCCTTGGCCATTTCTCTAGTAATTGAACCGTTAACAACTATTATTACCACGTGGGAGAGGACGTCTGATGTTAGCTTAAGGATGAATTGCAGATACATACGTATATGATGTATGTGGATGTGTTCATATTTCCCCCGCATCTAAACGTTAATTAATTACCTTATTGGAAAAAAAAGCGTACTTTTACAAAAGGTCAGATATTGATGGAATAGATCTTGCTTTAGTTCTCCATGGAGCAAATTAATACATTCTCCATCTAAAAATGCAGTTTGCTTTTTATTTTTAATACAATTTATACCTAAAGTAAATATTTAAACAAAATAAAATATTTTTGGCTGATAGAATGTATCAGTTTACAAATTGGATCGGCACCATAAGCCACCAGATCGATGGTTTATTAAATTCCGAAAACAAAGATCAGTACAACTTTTGATGAAAGAAAAAGTTTAATTAACCACAACAGACCCCTTTGATTGATTAATAAACTTAAACTAATTAATAACTGTCCGGGCGAAAAAGTTTAATTAACCACAAGACTTACTTTTATTTGTTCTTTCTACCAAACTTGCTTAGGTGCGGGTCATTGGAATTGCCTACTTGATTACTTCAACATAAGCCACCTGATTAAGTTTTCTTTTTGGAGATCTTAAAGTGAAATCCATCTGGGAAATTTATAAGAGGGGATCGCACGATCTTTCCACCCTTAACCATCTTCCATCTGGGAAAAAGCAAAAAGAAAGTGGTAAAAATACGTTAAATGCATTGAATTTTGTTCCTGAGTTATTAATGTTACCTGTATTTTGAAACCAAAACATGTAAGAAAGCGGCCATGAATGCCCTGCTGTATTCTGCTCCCGCACACTGCTTCATTCCTGATCCGAATGGCATAAAACATTTTGATACAACTTCGGGATTGATGTCCTGTGTTTAGTAGAAATAATAAAACATCATGAATTATGGTTACTGAACATTCAAATCAACGTGTCCCCTTCGATATACAGCAAATATATAGTAATACAGAAAAGTGTTACAGATGAGCAAATTTTTCAACTTTCCGGAGAAATTCGTTATTTATACATACCTTCCAACGGCCTGGATTGAATGAAAGGGGATCTTCAAAGTAACTAGGGTTCAAATGCATAGCTGAAGAAGCAATTATAATTCCCCATCCTTGTGGAATAATATACCCTGTTGAAGTTATGAATGTCACATCACCAAGAATATATCTCGGTTAATGTATCTCGAAGGGTAACGATATAGAAAAAAATCTGATTTGTTTTTTTTTTTCCCATCAACTATATATTTTTGTAAATTCAAGAGTCTTCTTCTACCAGACTTGGTCCAGCTAAGAACAATAGGATTTTTTTTTTTTTTTATCAACAAGATATATAATTTGAAAAATGGAGTTTGCATTGGACAATTTCGAATATTCTGAAGTTGGTTTGTCAAAAAAAGGATTTTAAAGTGAAGTTAAAACTAATTATAATTGTACCATTGACCGGAATATCTTTCATGGCTCGACGATATAACCCCGGAGCAATGTTTCCCAACCTAAGGACTTCATTGATAACCTGTATTATTAAACATTTATAACCTAAAATAGTTATAACCTAAAACAGTAAGATGAGGGCAATGGCTAATTGCCACCCAACAAAATTCTAGGGTAAGAAAGTATTACTTGAATGGTAAATGTCATGGACTTGAATTCACTCCATGTTAACGGAGTATCTAAATTTTCCCGATTCTTAAAGATCGCCTCATGCTCTGCCTGCAATAACATACTTTAAAAAATTACTGATGCTAAGGTTTTCGATTTCTTTTGTTTCAGTTTACTCTGGCCGTTTTAAAATACAAGTCAACTCAACAAATTCGACCCTTCAACGCAATTTTCTAAGTATCAGCGTACCGAAAGGATAGGGTAAAGAAAAAGAAGTGAGAATGATCATATATTTAACGCATAAAATATTACTTCTTTTCTCAAAAATACGAAAAAGTTTGTATTAATAAATATGTAACTCTTATTGTCGGATAAAGAATGTATGTACTAACCGTTAGTTCCTCCAAAGTTGTTGGATGATCAGCAAGTAGCTTAATAGCTAATGCTAACGTTGATGCTATGGTCGGAGCGATGTTAAATGAAAAACCAAACAATAATTGAGCAATAACATCCTCTTTGATGTCTGACTGATCGGTGCTGATGTCTTGGATGAGGTGGTCAAGCAAGTTTCCATGGCCCCTTTTGGGTGACGCCAGACGTTTCTCCACAACACCTTTCAACCACCCTCTCAACCTTTTATGAATCTAACAGGAATTTCTCATTTCATGAAAACTGATAATAACTTTTAATTTCAAAAACTATATGAAAAGATTTGCAATAGTTTATGATTCGTAAACCTAGACAACAAATTATAACAACAAAAAAAAAGTTACTCTTTTGATGTTCTCTATATGTTATCATCTTTGACGGACGTGATGAAGAAATATTATCCAGAAAATTAACTTAACTTATTTTTGTTTTTGAAACACCTCTCTAACTTTATAAACGTGTGATGGGATGGAATAAAATACTATATCAATTCACGAAAATTAAAAGGAAAATAATGTATTATTATATATATACCTGCAAACATTTGTGATGTGTACTACCGGGAAAGTTCAGGGGGAAGCACATTTGTCCTTCCGTCAAGTCCATGTACATTTTACTTGCATCAAATGGTGCATCTTCAAAATCACCACCAAATAGCAATTGCGCACCAAAATTGAGTGTCATCTGTTAAACAAATAACTCAAACTTTTTAGACCGGATATCATATTATAAAATTCCAGGCATTTTACGCAAACCAATGAATAATGGATGTCATCATCACGTTTAGTTTGTTAACTTTCTAATCTAATTAAGCAATACTTTTAGAATGTTAAATTTAAGTAATGAAATCATACATCCATGGTTGCATGTTTCAGTTCAACTGATGCTTGAGTCGACCATTTAACAAGGGTTTTGTTCACCACGTCTTCCATTTGAGGAAGTAACTTCTCTTTCAGGGTCTCTACCCCGAAGTAACTCAAGATCAAACTCCTGTTGTATTTTTGGTTGGAAAACTGCTTTGATTGTTGAAATATCTTTGCAAATGTGTCCATGCCCCATGGCACCACAAGCTTACCATCTTGGCGGAGGAGAAAGTGATTAAATTCAGGGTCTGCCGTGACGATGACCGGCCGGCCGGCTACATTTGTTCGGAAAATTGGGCCGTACCTGAAATGTAACACAAGACGTTAAGAAAAACCCATTCGTTATGTACATGACAATCTAACTAATAAAGTGAACTAAATGGAAAGAAACATCCAAATGACCTCTTGAAGTACAGTACGCGGTTGAATTTGATACTGTCTCTAATAATCTATATCTTGAAAGTTCTAATTCAATCCATAAACTTTTCTATTGAAAAGGTTTCGTTAATAGAACTGCAGAAAGTTACGTACCAATTGACTTACAAAGGCTGAAGTTCACTCCATAAAATGTCAAAAAAATTGGAAGATTTATGCAGATGGCGCTTAGGAGAGAATAACGTATTTTCCGACACTTCAGTTCTTTGATAACTTAATCAATCTTTTAGTTAGACTGAATAACAAATGCTACAAAACAACATTGAAACGACAATAAGAATTGATGTAACCCTCAAATCTTAAAGATCAATGATTCAACTTAATGCATTCTATCTGTTTTAAAGAAATAATTCATTTCGTAGGATTAAAAAATTGTAAAAGAAAGTGCAATATTTTTCTGGGTTGAAAGCAGTATAAAATTTTTTTTTTTTTTTTAGGTACAAAAAGCAGTATAATAAGTTATCGTACCTTTTGAATCTTTTGGCGAAAAATGTGTGAAGGTCAATGGATGGAGAGGAAAAATTTAACTGAAGAGTTTCACCGATGAAGGGAAAGCCCATTGAACCAGGAGGGAGAATTCCCTTGCGTTTGGGACTGCTCCATTTGTAAGCATACCGGGTTGTGAAAACTGCTATAATGGCTATAACAATAGAGGCAATTGTTAAGACCAGATCCATTGTGGTCGATGGAAAAATATAGGCAAGGGAAGTCGGTAAAATGGATCGGTAACGTCGAGAAAAGGATTGGCTCTGAGGGCTGGGCTTGGGGGGTCTCCTCCTGGTGAAAGATTTTCAATATTTCAGGGTTTCAAAGAAAAGGCAAGCCTGTTTCTCTAATTAAAGAGATCATCAGAAGATACAAAATGAGTTAGGAATGAGTTACAAACTGATGAGAATCAACGTTAATCAGAACTATCTAGCTTGCTTGCACATACATATACTCAAAAAAGACGACTCAATTATTGGCAGCAAACTTTAAATTCGTCGAACGCAAATGTAATTATTTGCAAGCTTTTTTAATTTAATTTCTACTTGAAGATGACCTTTAATCAAAGATAATGCAAATCATCGCATCAATGTATAATTCATAACCACTCATTATTTATGCCGAAAAATAGACTAACAAACAATGTCAGCTTGTCTTAGTTACAAAAGTCAGATCGAAAGCACTAATTTTCTATATTTTTATTATTTTCTATCGTAGATAAGACGAGATAGCCAACCTATGATGACTCTCCAATGTGAAAGCGTATATAACTGAATTTAATAACTGCAACAGATAATCAAAGTGTGCATCTACCCCATTTGATGGTAATATAAAACTCATGAGAAAAACTTGTTTAATACCTTGGAAACTGAAAAAAAAAATTGTTTAAGTTTGCCAAATCTAATGCTTAAAAATTAATTAACAATCTTTGATACAAACAAAGTCACGAAAGGCACGCGTAAGAGCGTGAAAATTTCTCATCTATTAATTAAAACATCCACAGTTTTATATGGTCATTATTTTTTGGTTATGTTTGCTTTCTACGTTGGGATCGAAATTGAAAATACCGTTTAAGTTGAAGCGTAAATATTGCTAGGTGAATAGTGTTAGAGTTTCAAGTACAGGTGTTGGCTCGATTCTAGCAAATCTGATCCAAACCACATGGGCCGATCGCGATAATTATTTCGGCCTAAATGGTTTTTAGAAATCGGCCAAGGATAATGAATAAAGAAGAGATGAGTCCGGATAAGAAGATATGTTAGCAGCCTCTAGTCCGATTTGGAGAAGGGGTCGTCTATGCAAGACAATCCGATTCGGGGAAGGAGTCTTTGGCACAGCATAATCCTTGTCAAATTAGAAGTTCAAAATGGCACGATGAGGGTTTCGGCTGAGGAGCGGTATAAAAAGGAAAGCTGAAAGCGAAGAAGGGACAATCAATCATCATAATGAATATCAGATTTTCATCTTTTTTTTATCATTTACGTTTTCACCATTATATTTTTTCAAACTTTTTGCACATTTCTTTTATTCAAGTGTAAAAATCATAATCTCCATAGTAGTCCCAAGCTATTCATAGCAAGGATAACCACAAGAAATCATAATAAAATAGGCCCCTTAGCCGTTTTACTTCATAACTCAAACTTTATTTTTAGTGGATCATCGAAGGAGGCGTATTGGCCGCTTTATCTTTTCGTACAAACGGTGTTGGTATTTGCTTCGATAGTGTGACGTTTCACCATCGCTCTTCGCGTATTTCACACTTTCTTTGAAATAAGTTAGGAACAAATCGGACTTCACATCTAAATACAATTTTCGCTCAAACATAAAATTTGGCATGCTCAGTGGGACTGATTTATGTGTCTTGTTCGTCGCATAAAGAAGGGAAATAATGTCAGCAACTCAATCGTCAACAGTTGTACCATCGGCAGGACAAGTTTCCTTTCCGATTCAGACTTCTGCGACGAATTGAGGTTCAATACTGATATCCACTTCTATCCACATTTCAGCAATTGAGTCACATGTGACCATTGTAAACCATCAATCGTCTGGTGCGTACCAACTTTTGAATCAACAAAGGCTCAATATGTTTAATAGCGGAATCGGAATGTTTGACGAGAGATCAAGCTTTTTGAGTTCTTTTCAAAGCCCAGCATTTCAAAGTTCTGGGTTTCACAGCCCAGTTTTTCAAGCCCAATATTTTAGAATCAAGGATCTTCGTAGCAGTCTCTGCCAACAGCATTGGAAATGACGCAACAAAGAGTTATTATGTTGGAGCAACAGGTAGCATCTCAAGCAGACATGACAGCACGATTGGAACAGGCATTGTGGATTTCAAACCCGCAAAATGTGGGTTTTGACACAAGAAATCTAGGGGTCAATAGATCGGCACCTCCAAGCACTAGCACGACTGCAGATGCAACTCAAGCAAAAGCGTCACCTGTTCGTGTGATCTAGAACCCATTATACAATACTATATTTCATACACCCGCAACAGGTAGGCCTGTACAGAATACAGGTGTAGGTTCAAGTGACAATGTGTTACAAACTGCTAGAAATGTTGTGGTCATGGTTTTCACTGTTGGTATTATCCAGCAACTCCAAGTTAACCGGCGTTTACACCACCGCCTGGTAATTTCACATTTGATGGCCACCAGTTGCCTCCATTGTCAGCTCAATACAGTGGAAAAACTAGCTTGAATGGACACTAGGACAATTTATGGCTCAGCAAAATTATCATGTCTCTTTGCCTGCTAGTCCAGAAGGATATACAGGATGGCGTCAGTAAGTAACGTTGCAAGAGAAGCACAAATGTTGGGCTAATTGCAGTCGCAAAATATGGTGATACCATTTTCTGTGCCAATGGTGCCAACACAGAAGATTCCAGCCCTGATTTCGCGGCAGTTGATAGGACAGAAAACTTTTGTCGACCGGGACACGTGGCGCAATGAACTATAGGGGCAGGATCTTTAGTTCAAGGGCTACCCGTTGTGGGGGTGAATCAAGTACCTTTGAATGGCACTCTAGAGCAAACCGGCCATCATACACGAAACAACAGTGACCGTCGTTTTATTTTGTATCAAATCGAGTTGAGCCACAAGCATCAGATGGTAATCCTGCAGCTACAAATTTTCCCGATCCAAATATACCTCAAGGGTCAATCCGAATTTAGTTCAGCCACATCCTACGTTAGAAGATAATATGGAAGACCAGCAATGGCTGGATTATGAAGCCAACCCGATCATGAATCGGAATTGATAGAATATATAAATACGGAAACCCTAATCAGGGTTTTCGATAATCACGGCTAGGGTTATTGTAATATTGTACTATATATATGATGTTGTACACATGTAATAAGACACGAAAAATCATTCTTTCATGGTATCAGAGCACTTTCCCATCCACTTTCCCTTTACACTTTCCCATCCACCCTTTGGGCTCAATCTCGCGCACCGGCTTCTTAATCATGTCCGGCGTTCGCTGCTTCCGTCTCTTCTCATGTCTGGCATCAACGCCTTGGTCACCCCAATTCTTCTGTTTTATCTACATTAGTGTCACATCGCCGCCTTCCTGGTTCGGTGTCTTCCTCAAATAAGTTTAGTCTTTGTCAGGCTTGTCAAATTGGGAAGCATCATAAGCTCCGTTTTATGCCTTCTACTTCAGTTACTTTCAAAGCTTTTGATTTAATCCATACCGATGTTTGGACTTCTTCCTGTCTTTCATTTAGTGGTTTCAAGTATTTTGTCCTTTTTCTTGATGATTTTACTCATTATTTATGGGTGTATCCACTTAAACACAAATCTGAGGTGCCTCACAAATTTATTCACTTCTATACTCTTAAAAACTTTTTTATGAAACCTCTTTCCCATTTCATCAACTATCTTCGGTTCCACCACTCTCTACTCCCAACTCCCGTTTTAAACATCCTTCGTTTCTCGTTCCACGGTCCATTCCCACTTCCGTGATACCTTCACCTCCTCAACAAAAAGTGTCAACTGTTCCTTTTCTATATTCAGACCCTACACCTTCTACTTCCTTGTCAACTCATTTGGGTCCTCCTTCTTCAAACCCTCCCACTCATCATATGGTCACCCGCACTCGGGATGGCACCCGTAAACCTAAACAGATCCCCTCTCTTACTACTACTACTACAACATCTTCACTTCTCCATGAACCAAAATCTTTCACTGAGGCCAATAAATACCCTGAATGGCGAGCTACTATGAGTGATGAATTTAATGCTTTCCTCACTAACCATACATGGGATTTGGTCCCTCCCCCTATTTCTGCTAACATTATTGGCTCAAAATGGATTTTTCGAGTTAAGCTCAAATCCGATGGTTCACTTGATCGATGTAAAGTACGTTTGGTCACTCAAGGTTACAATCAAAAGCCTGGTAGTGATTATGATCAAACGTTCAGTCTAGTGGTTAAACCAGTGACAATTCGGAGTGTATTAAGCATTGCTGCTTCTTGCAATTGACCCGTCCATCAGTTGGATGTTAAAAATGCATTTTTGCATGGTCATCTCAATGAAATTGTCTACATGAAACAGCCTACTGGTTTTGTTCATCCAGATCATCCTCACTATGTCTGTCGATTGAACAAAGCTCTTTATGGCTTAAAGCAGGCTCCTCGAGCTTGGTTTCATAGACATGTGTATTCTACTGGATCAGACATAGCAGTTTTGTTACTTTATGTTGATGACCTTCTCTTGACAGCATCTAGTGATCGTCTGCTCACCACTATTATTCAGTCGTTGAAGGGTGCTTTTGCCATGACTGATCTTGGTCCAATCAGCTATTTTCTCGGTGTTTCTGTTGCTCCTCACTCTGGTGGTTGGTTTTTACACCAACGTAAGTATGCTGAGGAATTGTTGGCTCGTAGTCATCTCACTGATGCCAATCCTGTTCCAACTCCCCTTGCTCCTGCTTTTCAGTTCTCTGTTGATGAGTCTCCGCCTTTTCACAATCCAATTCTCCATCGGAGCTTGGTGGGTGCCTTACAGTATCTTACCTTCACCAGACCGGACCTTCAGTATGCGGTCAACCTTGTCTATCAGCATATGCATGATCCCCGGGAACAGCATTTTCAAGCTGTCAAACGTATTCTACGATATATTAAAAGCACACTTCATTATGGCATTCATCTGCGCGCTGGTCCTCTTGATCGCCTGGTTACTTATTTTGAT